CACACTTAAAAATAACAAGAATACAGTTTGAAAGGGGAGTGATTTGTAAAATATCCATAAAGAAAAAGAAATCTGAGCTTTTTTCAAGTGGGGTTTGAACCTGTGACCCCTGATCCGAACACCAACACACAACCCACTGCACCACATGCCTCCCCACACATTTTTTCGACATCTTTTACACATTTTCTTCTGTCATATTTCAGACTTTTTTCACACCTTCTTTAGCATTCCTTGCACAAAGCTCAAATAAATGTAATTAAAAAAAAAGTGCAATCTCCATCCAAGATTTTGTGACGTCAAAGTATAACTTGTCATGAATCGAAATACTCAAGTAAAGTACCTCAAACACACACACACACACACACACACACACACACACACACACACACACACACACACACACACACACACACACACACACACACACACACACACACACACAGTGAAAGTGTACTCCTGTTTCTCTCAGTCTCGGTACAATGGACTCTCTTCCTGTCAGGAAGCTGCGCTGAAACATTTAAACTGTCGGAGAAAATCCTTCATCTCGCTGTAAACTAAACACTGTGTTCAAACTCTGAGGGAAATATTTATAACATTTCACACATTTTCTGGAAATCAGTTTGTCCCAATTTTTCATGCATTTTCCAGATATTTTACTCATATTTTTAAATGTGTTAACAATTTGTTGTGATATTTTTCAGACATCTTCTGTGTTTCAAAGTTCTCTATGAATACCGGTACATGCATTATTTGTATTAGTTATTAAAAACCACGCACTGATTAATGTGTTTTAGCTCTCCCTACTGTTGTAAAAAAGTGATAAAAGACACTGTTATGAATGATTTCTCTACATTCTGCTTCCCTGTATTCAAACTGCTGACGCTGTGCTGTGATTGGCTCCCGCTCTCAGGGTTACCTAGGCGACGAGAAGGCGTTCATCGCCACGCAGGGCCCGATGGTGAACACGGTGAACGACTTCTGGCTGATGGCGTGGCAGGAGGAGGCGCCGGTCATCGTGATGATCACCAAACTGAAGGAGAAGAACGAGGTGAGCGGACGAGGGTTTCAATAAAGCTTTACAACTTCAAATTAAAAACCTATGGTCGATGCTGAAGTTAAAGTAAACGCACAATGTTTCTTTATTTTTTTGTCATTTTTTAAAATATTTTTCCAACGGTTTGTATGCATTTTCTGCAACTTATCGATTTGTTCTGATATTTTTAAAGAAATGTTTTGCTACTTTTTCTCGATATTTAACTTTTTTTCAACACTTTTTTTTTTTTTTTTTTTTTTGTGGATAATTTATATAATTTTGTTTGGATATTTATCCAAAGAATCCTGTCTTTTTTGGACATTTTGCTCACAGACGAATACAATAAAATACTGTATTTGTTTTTTTTGTACTTTTTCAATACTTTTATCACGGTTTATAGGCATTTTTTGCATAAAGTTGTCAAATAAATCAGTTTGTTTAAAACAATATAAGCTTGTTTGTATAAAATAATCACATTGTGTGTGTGTTTGTTTCTCTGCAGAAGTGTGTCCTGTACTGGCCGGAGAAGAGGGGGATCTATGGGAAGGTGGAGGTGCTGGTGAACAGCGTCAGAGAGTGTGAACACTACACCACCCGCAGCCTCACACTCAAGGTACACACACACACACACACACACACACACACACACACACACACACACACACACACACACACACACACACACACACACTCTCTCTCTCTCACACTCACTCACACTCTCACACACACACACACACACACACACACACACACACACTCAGGGCAAGGGTTGAACTGTGAAGCCTATTCCTAGTATACATTTTAAACAGTTCTTCAGACATCTATGTTTCTGGGGGATTTTTTCCAATATTTTAATAATCTTTTTTAAAAACATTTTGTGGACCATTTATATAATTTTCCTCCAAAAATGTTCACTTTTGTTGTTGTTGACATTTTACAATTTTAATCAATTTTTCTGGAATCTTCTTTTAGATGTTTCACACATGCTTACAGGTTCTTGTCTTGCAGCAGATAAAGAGTCTCTGTGTTTCTTCGTCTGGTGTGTGTTGGTGTGTGCAGAGTGGGAATCAGACCCGGGACCTGCAGCACTTCTGGTACACGTCGTGGCCTGACCACAAGACGCCCGACTCCACGCTGCCGCTGCTGCAGCTGATGGGAGACGTGGAGGACCAGAGGGCGGCGGCCATCTTGGGACCCGTCATCGTGCACTGCAGGTACAGAGAGAAAAA